CTTGAACAAGGTAATCCTTTGATTATTCAATCTCTAAAGGCAGTTTTTAGATGGCAGAAATGTTTGTAACCAAGTGGTTATAACCCATGTACAACCTGCACACCTAGGTGACCTTTTTTTGGTCTGTTGGAATTATCCTATCTTGCATTTTCAATTTGAATTCCTGTTATTTATGATCAAATTCCTGGCCTTTGTGAGACTCATTGAAGGTTATGGAAGATTGTTTTCAGTTATTACTTGAGTGCAAACAAGCTGTAAGAAGACTTAACTGCAAATTGTTGTTTTTACATGTGTATTTTATTTATTGTTATATACTGTTTAACAAAACTTCAGTAAAATAATCAAAAAATTTCAAAAGCCCTTTACCTGCATAAAATGAAACCTCGCATACACCTGCTGTGATATATAGGTTTTCCTGGAATAAATACTACTATGGACTGGTGGGTACAAAGGACAGCAATAAAATTAAAGGAAATAGGTGTGAAAAGTAGTTTAACCCTTTTTGCCCCGGGTAGGTTAAAGTGCACGTGTCATGATGTCTTGGAGCATTATTTTACAAATTTTATTAAACAACATTTTTACTACTTACATCAATGAAGTTAGCATCAAAACGTAGTTTATAATTTAAATTTTGATATTGTATATGTTTTAATTTCTTAGTTTAAAAGGAAATGTAAAGAAAAAAATGTTAAACATCAATTTTGTGTCTCATAACACGTCTAGTTGTCTTATTGTTCAGTTGCCATTTTATTATGCCCACCATACAACATGTATAAGTAGCTAACGAATTAGACACTCAAATTAGAAATATGGACAAGCTAAATATAAAATAAGAACCTCCCTCCAGTATGATTTGCTGAGATAGCAATATTTTTAGCGAGTCTACTAGAGTGGCTCCTCCCACTGCACCAATCTTTTGAAAGCTCTTTTCTAGTCCCACCTACTACAAATTAGCTACTGCTTATAACCAATAGAAAGAACGTTTTCACCCCTACATAACTCTGACAGTTGTCTATGAATAGCTTGAAGGAGAAAATAATAATTTTGCCAAGACCATTGAAGTGTGATGATTTAGTCGTTGCTATGAACAGGAATGGGATGTTTTTAACCCATATACAGTTTATTTAGAGACCCGACTAAATTACAGGGATTTTGAGTGGACTAGTACACATATTTGAAGTTTAAAAAAATTAGTGTCTCTACCCCCTCATTACCAGAAGAATAAACGAGGCTTACATCAAGGCTTAGCAAGTTCGATGCATGAGCATATTTCGTAACACGGTTACATACTCGAAATCTGTTTTTCATTTACTTTCTAAGTGTGGTAAAAGTGAGAGAGGGTAGTATCATTTATAAGAATGTGCCCAAATAACACCTTCATATACTTATGCTGCGAAATTCCACACACATCAAATGGATGACCATTAGTACTGAAACAACTGCTATGTAATTGGATAAGCCCGGCTCAGAACTTACAAGGTTTATTGGATCAGTCCAACTCTGAACCATATAATAAATGTTTTTACACATTCTAATTGCAATTTTATTACCCTAGGAAATTCCTGTTGAAAGTGTTGTAGGAACTATAAACTACTATATCCCATATTGTGTTCTTGGAGCAAGGGGAATGTCACCTCATTGAATACGTGTGAGTTTTTGCGCTCGAGAGTTTCGTATTATGGTTTTACGTGAACAATCTCATAACATGGGTGGTGAATTATTGCTTTTTTGTCAGCGGGTTTGTAATTTGTCGGTGACAGTAAAATAAATGCAGAAAATACATGGGATATGTTTAGCAGTTGAAACTGTCAGGGGAAGAACTTTGAAACTTCATGATCAATAATGAAGAAAAAGGAAACAGCTGCTCATTATATTTCTGGTTTTACAATTTTTCTTTTCATTCTACTTCAGTGAGTTGTCTACAGACTGAAGAATCAAATAATAAATGTAATAACAGGTAAAATACAACATTTTATTGAAAAAAAAAGGTACATATGTATTTAGGAGGTTTCAGAGGTTGTGCAAATGAAATTCGAGATTTTTGAAACAAAGATAAGTATTTTAAATCTTAAAATGAATATCACTTTGCACTCAGACTAGTTAAAAAAAAAAATCAATATTTTCACGGACAAATATAAGTAAAAATACTTCATTAAAAAATGTGATTTTTTGTGTGCAAAAGGCTTCTAATGTTTACCATAAGTCTACAAAATTTTGTAAAGATACATTTAAAATATTAAAAGTTATAGGATGAAAACTATAACAAGCACAAAATGGTTATGAGGTCGGTCCCAGGGACCGAGCCTGTGTCGAAAGAGTTAAACTTTCAGCTCAATACTGCAGTCATCGAAGAAGAAAAAAATGGCATTATTCATTGTATTTCATAGCTTTCCATATTTCATTTAGTTTACATTAATGATTTTATTACAGTTAGGTTTAAGGCAAAGTCAATAAAAGAAAACAAAAACTGATATTCATTTAGGAGGTTCTAGATGTTATGGAAAAGAAATATGAAACTATAAGATGAAAATATGTATTTTTTTATCCATCATATCAAAATCATTCACTCAGATTAACTCAGTAAAGGCTTTGGCAACTCAAAAGGCAAATCTTCAGTAAAAACTTGTTTGTTGTGTACAACAGACAGAACTAAGCAATTAGTGGAATTTGCTGATTGTTTAATTGTCAGTCTCATTAATTGATTATGTTGAACTAACCAATTATTCTCATAAGTGATAGCTAAAAAAAAGTGAAAACCACTGAAACAATTTTTTGAAAGGTAATTTGAACATTTACTCTTTGATGAATCTAATGTCAAAATGACCATTTTGTTTGTTTTCAAATATGCAGTAAACCCCATTTGTCATTGTAAATTAAATAAATTGATAATCAGATAATGAAAACATGCTTTACTATCAGTGATAACAGTAACATTTATATTTAACAAATATAACTGCAATTAGAAGTAATTAAGTAGCCAGTTGGCCAATTTATTTATCTTTGTATTTGAATACCATAAATGTAAAAATAATATTCAACAAATATGGATATGAGTCATCACAATATTTTACTGTCACTTTCCATACTCACTGAACCTTAATAAAGCTTACCTCATTGCTTCTCATTTAAGAAAACTTTTGTAGATTTCAAATAGATATAATTTAATACACACAGAAAAACACTTTCACGTGGCCTAGAAATTTGCACACAAAACCATAGACAACTACTCAAACCACTGTTTATTTTACTGTGACACGTAAAGTTTAATACTTGATCAAACACTCATATTTAAACTTTCTTTATAGCTATTTTCAAAGTGTTTCACTAATATGTGATTAAACCACTTGAGGTGACACCATAAAGAGATGTCAACCAACATTTGTAGAAAAAACTAAGCAGAAGAAGACAAGGGAATGATTTGAAAATTAGCCAATGGATAATATATATTCAAGGGATGATAGGTTCTTAGCACAAATAATGCTGTTATTTGGGATATGCAAAAAACATTATAAATTGACAAGTTCATTGTTTACAGGTAAAATTCCTTGAAGCTGTACAGAAATGAAAATATGAACATTTTTTGTTTGCAGTAGTTTTTATGCCCTTTGTGTGAATTTTCCTTATTCTGTCATTTTTACATATGCTATTTAAGCTACGCTTTTCGTCAGGCATTATGTGTTAAATCAATAAATCTTGATCTTTTTGATCGAATTTTATGCAGTTAGACAAACAAACTGGCATAGACATAATTGTTAAATTTATATAATAGATCTACATGTAAAGAAAACAATAAAGTAAAGTAATGGTATTTATAATAGTGTACAGAGTATGAAACATTTATGAGCATACAGTGTATGACACAGTTTTACAAATTCAAACAAAGAAACTCAAAATCGAAGAATAAAACATGTAGTATAGGGTTATTCCATGTCAAATAATTACCCCAAATCCCCAAAATTTTCCCTGGTGACCATCTCCATTGTCTATAACATTTTGCCCAGGTGTACATCTATGTAAATGATAACAGCATGCAAAATTTCAGTAAGAAATTTTAATTACTTACAAAGTTATGTCAACTGAAGTTGAGGGGGTAGCACCATATTTTCACTCATGACTCCACCATCTTATAACAGAGGGTTTTCATATGCTAGTAACTTTTTCATTTTAAAGTTATCAGGCTGAAACTTGCTGTACTACATGTTAAGACATGGGAAGTCAGAATTTGAACACAATTTGTCAAAATATTTGTGATCTTTTTAGACATATATAGACCTCTGAAGTTAGACTTTTATTTATTATGGAATTATATTTTTCAGCTTTTTAGGTAGCTATACCACCTGTTTATTCATCACAGACACCAAATATGATTTTATTTGAAAACTATACCTAGAGGTATTTGTAAAGAATAAATTTCATCTGAATCAAATATGAGACAAAATCACAAATTACAGAAATTGTGCCCTTATACCAAAGATGGTTTGACCTTGTGGGTAATTAACTATCAAAATGAGTTTTTAATACAATTAAAAATATATTTTAAGTTGTATGTTTGCCAGGTTTTGCCTTTGTGTCTCAATTGTTTTACCTTTAAATGATTTTGTGTTTTTACCTCCTATTCTGAGCAACCACTGATGCTGAAAGAACAGCAAATACAGTACCTTCATTAGCAAAATCCCCTTGTTTATACTTGCAAATTATAAAGTTCTTATTAATTTAATCACTGGGATGCAGACTTAATATAAAATAGAATATATTAATGAAATGGTGACAGTTAGTCTACGACATGTATATATGAAAAACATACAAGTTCATATATTTCATGTGTCCCAGGTTATAATTATTGTACTTTGGCAACATAAAGTACACATTTATTGATTGCATCATGTTCTCTGAGTATTTCATCATCTTCTAGGAGTAAATATTACTTCATATCCTGGAATGTTGTTTCATTTTGTGGGAATATTGCATCATATTTCCTTATATAATGACAATAAATGCTAATTATACTGTCATTGAAAAATTGCACTACATTGTGAGAGGATCAAGATGGCTTCAGGCAGTTCAGCTCTGTGTAGAGTAGGGAAATACCTAAATAAGTTGACACACTCTAGAAAAACAGGACTTGTTACTATTGGTGATAAGGAACTGCTACAATGGCAATGTGGAATTCACTTTACTGACCAGGACCAAATGTGTCTCCATCATGAAAAGGTGTTTTTATTATGATATGAAAGTTTACCAAAATACTTCTCAGCTCCATTTTCTGTCCATAAGAAGCACATTACAAGTAAGTTCAACATTCAGTATATATATATATATATATATATATATGTAAATAAAGAGTACTTAAAATATTAGCCTACCTTAAATACATTGCTGATTTTGCTCAAAAGATTTTATGTGATACTTTATATGTTTGTTTTATTTTCGTAAGTATGATCTATTTTTATGTTAAATCAGTGATTACTCACATAGGTATTATGATAATAACTGTGTAAATTTCTAGAGCAACATCAATTATCAAATATCCTAGTTTCGATAAATGTTTTAAGTAAATAATCTTTTGACATTTGTGCTTTACAGAGTTACTAAGAGTGGATGATCAGACAACAGCCCTGCAACTACACTTAAAACCTGGACAAAAGCTGTGCCCTCAATGCTGTAAAAGAAATGAGGATAAAAGAGAATGTCATTCTGAGGTAGAAATACTTGGTGAAGAATATAAACCAGTGGAAAGTTCAGTTGACTATGTTAACAAAGCTGCCCAATCTCACGACTTTATACCCCTCAAAATATCAGTTAGTAAATGAGATAAATTATCATACAGAAAAGCTCCACACAGCTGTCAAGGCCAAATGTGCCCATGCCCTGGACTTACATATGGGTGACTTTGAATCTACAGAAGATGAGGGTGAAACTAACAATGACCTGGATAGACTGATTGCTCTCTTGAAAGACAAAGTTAAAGTTTCTACCAGACAGGAAAATATAAGGTAATTAACCCTCACACCAGAAAACTGGACTGGGAGAAGACAATGCAGGAGTTTGGTGTAACAAAATATATGGTGAAGGTAGCTGAAGAAAAAAGGTAGCTTAGCTGATCATGATATAAAAAAAGGGAGAGGCATTTCCCAGGCAGTGACTGACAGGACTGTGGATTTGTTCCAGTCATATGAATATTCCCACATGTGCCCTGGTAAGGAGGAGTATGTCACAATTAGGGTGAATGATTCTAAAGATTATAAAAAAAACAATTTCAAAGTGCTTTACCATGAGTATACCAAGAAAAACCCACATGATAAGGTTGGATTCTCTAAATTTTGTGAATAAAGACCCAAGTGGTGTATTCCAGTCCCTGCATCTGGCATGTATTCAGAATGTGTGTGTGTGTGAAAAGCACCAGAATGTCAAACTTATAACAGCTGTTATTTCTGGCAACAATGACTACAAAGACATTCTGGGAAAAATGGTTTGCAGTACAGAAAACTGCAACTGCATACTCCATCTTTGTGAATCATGCCCAGGTAAAACTGCTGTTCAGAAATATTTATCAGATTTATTTACTTCACACGATTTTGACTTTTACAATGTAAATTGTATACAAGCAGTGGGTTCACACTGACAGGACCAGTCTTGTGTATCTAACAGTGTGTTCAGGAGCTCACACAGATAGCCTATGATGTGTTTGATGGTCTCTGTCAGCACCATTTGATTGCCAAAGTTCAATCCAGCTACATCAGAAAGCTGAAGGAAGATCTTCATGAGGATGAGGCAGTTGTTTTACTGGACTTTGCTGAAAATTACAGCTTCATCGATCAAGGTGCTCTGTAACAGGTGGCCATATTGGCTAGTCGTTGGACTTTAAGTCCAGTTACAATAGATTTATATGAAATCCAGGTATATCGTCACTAGTGGAGTACACAAGTCACCAACTTGAGGAAGTTTACAATAAGAATAAAGAATCAACTCAAGAGACTGAGATTCAAAATACAACACTTTAATGCAATATATTAAGATACTTGCTACATCGAAATTACCAAAAGTATCTTGGAACATGTTAATATCAAATCGATTAAATTCATCAATTTGAGCCAGTAGCTGTTCTTCAATTAAACTTCCTATAACATCCATTAAATTACTTGACACTACCGGCAAGTCATTAATTAATACATTGAAAGAAATCTGTTCAGATATAACTTAATATTAAGCATATATCTTAATATCTCTCCTTGTTTTCTTAACAACAATCTTACATCAAAGTTTTGACTAATCCCTTTTTTTGGATGTTGTGTCCAGGTTAATGTAAACTTTTCTCTGTTATGGTGGTGTCGATTTATAGATAATGTAAACAATATTGTTTGGACTGTAACTTAGTTTATACTTGACATAAATCCTTCCTTTCATGGTCAAGCATTGTTGTGTAACTTCTCGTGCATTCATTAGCTGTGCTCAATTTTTCTGCATATTATATGTATGTATAACACACATGACATTTTATGATATTATAAATTTCCTTTCCTTGAAGCATTTGAATATAGTGTAAAATACTTCAAATGCTTCAGCTGTGCAAGGCCATCACTGGGACTATTCTCAAACCACAGTCCACCCATTTGTGGTATATATTACATAATGGAAAGTGAGTTAAAATGCTGGAATGTATGTATTATTTCAGATTAACTCAAGCATGACACTGTCACTATACATACATTTATTTCAATGAAGGTGCCATTCATGAAGAAGACCCCATATTTCAGTGATGGGGCTGCTAGTCAATATAAAAACTTCAAGAATTTGACTAATCTATGGCACCACAAAAATTACAATAGACTTGAAGCAGAATGGTATTTGTTTTTGCAACAAGCCATGGCAAGAGCTCACGTGATGGTATTAGTGAAGCACCTAGTCGTTTGGGCCAGCTTGCAGGCAACTAACTGTGAACGACCAAATTTTGACAGCAACTCATATGTTCAACTGGGCAACTGCAAACATTCACAGAGTTGAATTTTATTCTGTGCCTGCTAATGATGTTGCAAGCAATGCAGCAAAGTTTCATTTGTCTGAATGTTTTACGGAAGTGCAGACTGTTGCAAGCACCCAGTCTCATCACTGCTTCATTCCAGTCTCTGAAGTGGAAATGCAGATGAAAAGGCTCTTTGCATATAATGATTTTACCAGGGTCACTTTAGGTGAGAAGCAGTCAACAGTAATTTCTAGTGCACTGCCTGATTTCATGAACCATAATAATTTGCAGCTTGGAAAGTATGTTTCATGTATTTATGACAAGGAATGGTATGTTGCAAGCATTGTTAAATGTTCTGTGATACACTGTGATGTGTTTAGCAACTTCATGAAGCAATCACACACAGGAAATCTCTCCTGGCCTCCTGCATCACATAAAGATCAGTTTTAGGTGCCATTCCAGAAAGTAATTTCTGTGATTAATGCTCCTGAACAAAATGGATATAGTGCTCGTTTATATGCTCTCTGCACATGATGAGGCTCTAATTAAAAAGAAATTGCCAGCATTTTGAATATGTTGAGCTGTGATTGCTAACATAATCGAAGTATTTATGTTTCAATTTCTTGTCTACATCTGTAATTTAGTTATTTAGTAATTTGGAAGTAAAAAAACATTTTGCTTCATAAAGTTTTGTGTTTGTTAATAATATTTTATTATAGTGGTAGGCTCAGAATAGAGGGTAGAATGTGAAATCATTTATGGGCGAAAGCTTTGAGACACATTGTTGAAAGTTGGTATATATATATATATATAGCCAAAATATGTATTCTAATCATATTAAATACTCATTATGCTAAGTAATTACCCACATAGTCAAACCACCTCAGGTATAAGGGCACTATTTTTGCATTTTGTGATTTTGTCTCATATGTGAACTTCGGGTAGAGCTTAACAGTCAACTTGATTCAGATGAAATTTATTCTGTACAATTACCTATAGGTATAGTTTTCAAATAAAATCTTAGTGAATAAACAGATGGTAGTGCTACCTAAAAAGCAGAAAAATATAATTCCATAATAAACAAAGTCCAACTTCAGGGGTCTATATCTCTAAAAAGATCAAAGGTATTGCTCAAATTTTGATTTACTATGTCTCAAACATGTAGTACAGTAAGTTTAACCTGATATTTTTAAAATGAAAAAAGTACTAGCATTTGAAAACCCTCTATTGTAAGTTGGTGGAGTCATGAGTGAAAAAACAGTGCTACCCCCTCAACTTCAGTTGACTGTAAATTTGTAAGTAATTAGAATTTCTTACTGAAATATTGTATGCAACTATCATTTACATACATGTGTATCTGGAACAAAAGTCATAGAAATTGGAGATGGTCACCCAGGGACTTCTGCATGATTTGCATGGAATGACCCTGTTAAAGAAAAAAGTAGCTAAAAGGTGTTCTCCTATGAAATGAACTGAGGCTAAATTATTGCAAAGTAAAATGTAAAGTTATGAGGAAGGCAAACTTAGCTGAATATGTAGAAATGTCTGAATGCCTGTTCACAAAGTGATAAATATATGGTTTTGAATGAACTGTACATGCGTATTTTAGCCCTAAATAAGTCGAGAAATTACACTTGGGTTAAGTGTTGTTTCTGTGATATACTTTGCAAATATAAAACTAAATTTAAAATGCAAGCCAATCTTTACGTGATGACAACAACATTGTGCCATAGTGTGGCATACTAGTTGCATTAAGAAGTTTGACTAAGCAAAAAACAGTTAAGGTGATTCTGAATGGAAAACTAATATGCAATCTGTACTCTTTGGACAAAGGCCCTTCTAACGATATGAGATTTGTAGTGTTTGATCAAGAAATTTGCGTGAAATGTTCTGGAAAGACAAACACAAGTGTATCATTTATATAGATAAATTACTTTGTTAATCATAAGCTCTTGTATATGAAAATATATCCTACATGCATAGTAGTACAAATCCTGAAAATACAGTTAACAGCCTCCATATTTCCACAGGACTGCTGTACTAAAAGTACTGAATTTTTATTTATGAAAATAAAAATTACTTCATGATAATTTCAGACAACTTTTTATATTAATAAACTTAATTACCTTAAAAAATCTCAAAAATAAAAGAAAACAAAAAACATGAATAGTTTTGCACCATAGACCTGCATCAGTCATCAGTTAATTGAATAATTAAATAATTCTAATTCTGCAAAGATGTTTATTATTCTGAACCTCTGTGTACTGGATAAAATCAACAAATCTAACCTCAATTTTAAGTTTATCCAAAGAATATGAAAAGTGATGCTGTAATCTGGTTTCGAAATGATTTTTACAGAGAATTTCCATATCAAGAAACTTTTTAAAACTAGATTACAGCTATGTTTATATCTATGGTGAAACTGCATTATAATGCAATAGTTGGGGTCCATAAAATGTGACCTCATTAAATGTGGGGTTGCATTATTTCGGGGTACCCATAAATGGTCATTTTTCATATCTTTTGCATTGTTGTTCAGTACATGAAATGTTTTGTTATTCATTTGAGAACTTCAGATACCCAAATTAATGCCCAGTTCTTGTTACACATACCTTCTATTATAACTTCTTTTTATCTTATGCCCCAGCCATTTTAAGAACAAGAAAAACATAAACTACAGTATGTCAAAATTATCACATGATTGTGTTTATTAATTACACTGTTGGCATGGTTAACTGCAGTACAATATTTGTTGTTTTGCACAAATAAACGTGTGAAAATAAAATGCTGAACATTGCTGACATTTCATATGCTTAACTTTAAAGAATAGAAACCAAGCACACAAAACTTAAAGTTCATAAAAAACAACAACATGAAGTTACATAAGAAAAACTAATAACGTGCAAAGTGCATCAAACATCCATTGTTTATTATTTCAAGAAATCGTCTAGTGTTCATTGTCTCATTCTATCTGACTTCTGGCTATGAGCAAAGTCTAGTATGCTTCTTAGCTGCAGGATACATATGTTGTCAACATCTTGGCTGTAAAGAAAAATTGGAAAATTGTTGAATTACACTACAAAATCTTAATTGAAAACTGTCAAAACTCGCAAATTTAATGATAGAAACTTGGGAGCCAAACATTGACCATGTTATATCCGAATTCACGTTTTATCAGGGTGCACTTTGAGGGGCTTTTATTGTATCTTATGTGAATTTATTACAGTCATCGTGATGTGGACTTCTAGCCCGATATAATTTCAACTTGGTTCCCACTAATGTTACATTTTATGGATGGGTTCATTATAAAACTTGTGTCAATAACAGGGGGGAAAATGTTATATTTTCTTTAAACACGTTTGAAAGAAAAGGCATAAAACTTGTAGATCCTGGTCTTTTTACCATGCTCGTTGGGGATTACTGCAAAAACTATTTTTACCAAGGGTTCATACAGGCTGTACTGCAATCATAGCCTATTTATACATAATCCATTGGGGAATATGTTTTTATAATAATAGTAATGATATTTTGTGCAATGTACAATTTTAAATGTTGTGTTTTTGTTTTATTGCATTAATACAAGGATTAACATAACATTAAAATTTGCAAGTATCAAATTACTGGTCTTATTGTGTATTGAAAATGAAATAGTTCATTCATATTTGTAATTTATAACATTGTTGAAAGGCTGGAGTGACTAAGTGGATAAGAAATACTGCTTCATGAGCATTTGCCCTGTGATCAGAAAGTTGCAGGTTCTAGACATGCCACAACTTCCACCAAAACCAAATTTAAGAAAGTAAGAGGTGTGATGTTACAAATATAACACATAAAGAGTGTAAAAAAGTAACTTTATGAATTATTGAAAACTAAAACATAAACTCATACAAATTATAAATTACAATTTAATATAGTATAAACACAGATTTTGCATTTTATTCAACATTAAAGAATATAGTTATGCAATTATTAACTATAAACAATTCATTGTAAAAGAATGGTAAATTTACACTAAAATACCCCAACAGTTGGAAATGGGTGCTTCCAGCCAGTTTCTTTACCTCTAGTCAACAGAGAGCCTTAGTAGTTTTGCAATAACCCAAAAACAAATACAACATTCCTGCATCTGAAAAGGCAAGCAGGTTTGGTAACAATGGGAATCAAGCCCAAGATCCTTGAATCATGAGGCAACTTCCATAATTCCAAGGTCATGTTTGTCCAAAGCTGAACAAATTTGAGTTATAATATAAAAACAGAAAACTTGTAATGCTAAAAATTGGTTTACAATACCTGCAGTAGGCATAACACAGATAGTCTATTGTGTAGTTTTGTGCCAAACACGAAACAAACATAATGGCAGTATTTCAATTGGATAATTAGAATAATATTAAACCCTAATTTAGAGTACTGTATTGCAAACAATTTCCACTCTGTCATGGCAGCAACATATGGTTCAGGATGGCCAACATTATCTTTTTGTAGTCATTTCAGCCCTTTGTTCTTTTATTAGATGACATCCTGTGCCAGCAGTGATATTTCAGTGCTATTTCTTGTGCTTAGAGTGAACTAGTTAAAACTGGAATATTCTTTGCTGGCCAAACTATGGTGTCAACTGAAACTGATAGCTAGTCAATGCTGTCAGGGAACAGAGGTTATGAGGTGATGCCATCCACTGGACAAAGTGCTGTGATGTTGAAAATCCATATGTATTTTTGTTGTTCAGTTCTTCTTGGAGTTTATTGTGACTAGTTCAGCAGAGATTTATTTTGAGAGATAAAAGCTGGTGAGCTATTCACTAACCCATTAGTGGGAAACATCCATTTGTATAGGCAGTTATGTATGCTGTTTATACTGTGTAAATAAAGATTATTTTCTTTGTAATTTAAATGTGTCCAATCTATTTTTCATAAAACTTAAAATTCAGTCGGGTTATAAATTAGAGAACACTCCTTTCTTGGTAGAATCTGATATTATTTGTGAGTTTTCCTGTCTGATACTTGTTGGAAAATCAGTTTTACCTAAGAATACTACAATAACAGGTTTCAAAACTTTATGCAATAAGGTCAGAATTATAATAAATGTTAGTATGTATATCTTCACTGTTACTTGGTCGAGACTGTGAACAAATGGTTAATATAAATTGTAGAAAAAAACTCAAAATATGTTTTTGATACATGAATCTGACTACTCTGAGAAATTTTTGATTTTTTTTTATTTAGTTAAAGAAATCATGATTTGTAAATATATGATATATGACTTAAAAGTTTTATTGTGGTTTCTTCAGAATAAGATGTAAACACAGAGTTACAGTATGCAGGCTTTTCATCAAGAGGCTAGAGAAACTATAATATTTTGATTGAGATATAGATTTTATTAACTTCAGCACTTTAAATTTTTTTTGATAAAGTCTAAATATCTGGTGTGTAGGTAAATAATTTTGAAGTTTATGTTTTTTAACAATTTTATTTGAAAACTTTTTATTGGATTTACAGGGCAGATTATTGGAAATCCCAACCACGCAAGTTCTGTGAATTTTGTCAGTGTTGGTTTGGAGATAATAAAGCTGTGAGTAGTATTTCATTACCAATAGTTTGTTACAGACATCACTGATAAAAATATCAATTTGTTTATGGAGACAAAAAATTTTGTACTTTTGGTCATTATTATTACATACACACGGTACTGTTATCATTATTGCTATTTAGAGTTACACTATTGAATATCATAAGTTGGTGAAACAGTGAAATCTAATAGGTCAATATTCATGATAAAGATAATACTAAAGTACCTATTGAAGTGCAGTTTGTATGGCTTTGATGTTAATAAAATTCGTTGTGCAGCTGTGCTATAATTTGTATAATATGTAGAGAAATGTTAGTAAGGGAAACAGAGTTTACTTTTATAAACTAATTTACACAAGTATCACTATAGAATTCTTAAAAATAGGCCTGTTTCAACCAGCAAACATTTTTATGAATGTATTAAAAAATGTATGAAACACTATCAGAGTTTTGAATTATTCCTTTTTGGTTCTGTACTGAAAAACTAAATACAAAGGGTTGAATATGCTATATTTAAACACTTTTGAATATACAAATCAGCAAATTATATAAACTATAGCCAGTATAAATTTTCAGTGGAACAGAATTTATTAGAAGTTCAGAACTAGATTTTGATGTTTTGCAGATAGCGCAATAGCACTGAAAAGAGAGCACTTTTGGGAAGAGTATTTAACAGTCCTTTCCAATGTAGAATATTCATACCACAAATCATAAAGATGTGTTGAATATGGGGATTTAGAATTTCCAAAATGGAAATATTCTTTCTACTTAATGTTATTGGAAAACAAAGGATTATGGATCAACTTTGGAACCCAGGACTATTCAAATAGGAGACCTGCCACAAATCATACCCCTGTTGCTCTGTCTTGTAACAAAAGACATACTGACTGAGATGATAGATATAGTGCCTCTGGACTTATGTGCAATCAGATTGTTGAGATGAGTATTGGGAAAACTGTCATCCTTGCACCTGAGATGGATTATAGAAAGCCTGCAGGGAGGATTTGTGCTTTTGACATGAAAACCTTAATATGAAGTGTTTTTCAATGGAAACTATGCTGCAAAGTTATTGTCAATATTCATGGTCATCATATAGGGCACAACTGGACATGGATATATGGACTGTAACAACATGCATTGCTCCATAATCATTTTAATGTAATGCATTCGACCTCAGTTTTTCATGAAACTTATTGTATTGATCATTTTAAAGCTTTTTTTTATTAATGTAATATAATTGCAACCAAAATTGTTTTGAGGAGTATTGGTAAATAAGTAAACCAAGTCATCTTAGGAGGTGGCATTATTTTGAATGGTATGTACCATTAGCAGTTATAGTGGTTTTATGTTAAGAAATTTTAGTATATGTGTTTTAAGTTTTTAACTTGTTTTTTGATAATTCTGAAGAAAAGCCCAGAAGTTATAAAACCAGTACAAGAATAAATTTTAAAAGTTTTATAAGTTTATTTCATTACATAACTATTCCCTTGAAGTGAATAGTACTTCCCAATTAGCTCTGGAACATAAAACTTGGGCCTCCCTTGCTGCAGCTTCCTCGTGGGACAAGAATATATTGATATTTCAATGCACACATGCAAATTAGTATTGTGGCTACATCCAACAGTGGAGTGCCAGTAGGATACAGATGTGGTAGTTAGATGGTAATTGCCATTTATAGTAAATTCCTGCTGCTGAGCAAAACTATTTGACCCTTTCACAGGTCGAAGGAGCCCAACTGGGGAAGGATACTCGTGCAACAATGCATATGGTAATTCTGAGCTTTCTTAACGTATTCTAAAAAAAATGGTAGGATTTTGTGAAGGTTACAAGTGTCTTGTACACAAATAATGATATTATTTTAATCAAGTCTTTCTACTTAAAATATGTTATTTATCTATTGTAGTTATTTGCACTCAAACTCTGAATAGTTCAAGTGCAAGGTGATTTCCATTTTAAGTATAAAAATACTTTTCTTCATTTTACCCTTTTGGAGCTTCATTTGCATAACCTCTAGAATCTCCTAAATGAATATCAAAAGTTTTTTAAGGTATATGTTTATATTTCATTTTACTTTCACTTTACCATATCACTAATTGTAGATATTATCATCAACATACAGTGCAATGAAATGTTTAAAATTAAGTAACAGAAAAATTTACATGTCTTTTATTTTTTCCTAGAATATCTTAAAAGAACTTCTTTTGGTTATATTAATAATTTCAGGTATTTTCCTTTTCACATATAGTTAATTTTCCTTTCCTGCTCTTTAACATTTATTATTCATCTTGACAGAAATCAACAGTGCCCTTGGGGCGTATTACAGTATCTCTGGCAGAGATGCTCAAGCCTTCAGCAAAATATTTGTGCACTCACATAATATCGTAAGCTTTGAGAACTGAGGCAAAGTTTGAGATACATTTAAAAATTGTTTAAACCTTTCAAATATGCATTTTAAAACATAAATAATACATAATTAACTAAAGTATAAACGCAAAATCTAAGAACAATTTAACTTTTTCTCTAACTATAACATATTTAAGTAAAAACCACGGACAAAGCAGCCAACAATTCTAGTGGCAGTTACATCTACCCGAAGACAACAACTGATTGCCAATTTCAAAATAACTATTGTTCGATTATAGTATAAAATGATCTCTTTCTAATGTTTATAAACATGTGCATCAAATAAGTACATCTGGCTTGTATATCTTAAGGTTAAATACAAAAGGTGGGTGTGGCATCTGTTAGGTGTTGGCAAAATTCATTTCTTGTTTCAACTAAACTCAGCCAAGGAACTTTGGAACATATGTGTAAAATAGCACAGTAGATGTAATTTTTGTCAAGACATACAATTACATACTGAAGTTCTATGGCTCAAGTTAGAGACTGAGAAAGTTCATATTTATGAATGCTTAGCAACAAAACAAAAATTTAAGTATTTTTTTTTAATGTTTCTTTTGAAATAACAAAATTAAAACTTAGATAACAAAACTTTTAATTATAACATACACTATAATGTTAATTTTATTGATATACATTGATAGTCAAATTTTTCAATTAAATTTTGAAAGCAACTCAGTGACTTGTGCAGAAAAGAATTTAATGGGGTGACCATGTTGAAAGGGTTAATAATCACTTGACAGTCGGCTTAACCTGACACATTACAGTTATTTATACATTAATTTTACAAAATAGGAGAAAAAATAATATATAAATCACAATTCTGAAAGACTCGGTATCTTTACATAATTACATCTCAAATAAAAGTTTTTACAGTGTACTAAACCAGCTATTGTGGCACTACCAGTCAATGCTGTTACATATCTCTGACATTTAGGAGACAGCATTAAACCATAGAAGTTAATATAAGACCCATTAAGGGACAAGGGGTTCATCATCCCTTTGCCGTGAGAAAATTGTGGACCAAATTTTCAAGCTTGTGGAACTTATGCATTTTAGACAAACAAAATACACACATACTGCTTGTTTATGCAATTTAGTGTTTACAGTGTTTTGACAACAATTTGAAGGTGAAGCAATCAATCAGTCTTTTCTGTATCATAAAAATATATGTGAGACTAAGGGAAACTTTCAATGATTACCATCTCATTATTGTGTTTTGGCAGTCAATAGGCTACATGACACATTTATCAGGTGGTGGTCAAATATCAGAAATCTAAGTCTTTGTGGAATTGTGCCCATTTGGACATTTTTTTTACAGTATTTCAGTATTTATTTTAAATTCAGTGTTACAGCAATATTGTCTGTGGTGTTTAATTATATCACAAACATTATTGTGTATATGAAAGAGCTTGCTTTTTTTTAATGAAAATATTTGTAAATATTCCTAGATGCCAGGTCACTTCTTGTAGGTGCCATATTGACCTGACATCTGAGATTAAGCAAGTCTTGCTGTGAGTAATGAGTTTATACTCAAATATTTTATGAACTTTGAAAATTCTGAAGTACTAATAGATTAAATTCTACTGTAATACTGAGTAAAACAAAATTATAAAAAAGAAATGTTTCACATCATAAAGGTTTTATTTGATGATGAGAAAGTTCCTAAGCTTCAAATAAAATAACTCTCTATGTTCAAAATATTATCATCTGATACCCTAAGTTAAATCATCTACATAATTATGCATACTTAGAGAAGATTATATAGGAATTAAAGGAAAAATGTACTTCAGGGATAAAGATGTGCAATGTTAGTTGCATCTTTATTCTGAGAACTACTGATTTCTGTTGTCCATCTTACATATTTAGTTTTTACAGATCATTGGAAGCCATTGAATGAGAAGGGTAGATATAAAGGGTTCTTATCTTTGTGTTTATTTATCTGTCGTCACATCATTTTCAACATTTAAGCCATGGGGAGGAGGGGGGGGGTCGAAATCATTGTCCTTTCCTATGGCTCTATACGTTTTCTGTTGAATAGCCTGAGTGTTTGCTGGTTTTATCCATTTCCTTGACATCAACTTTCTTTTTTTTCTCTGAATGATTGGCTTATTCTGACTCATTCTTCAACACACTCATTTGACCACGCAACTGGTTACATGTTTTAGGTGAATCATTCACAACCTCAAATACTATCTAATATCAGTACAGTATTTTACACATGGGATTTTGAATCAACACTGTTCAAGGAACATTTTGCCATCTACAATGATGTTGCAAGCCTAACATTCTTCTGCCTTCCACACCTACCACCAAAGAAGTCCTATCTTCTTTATGGATGATGCCTTCACTTCACAAAAGGGACCATGCTTCTCAGTAGCATTTGTCTTCAAACTTGTTATCATGACAGTAGAATCTCCTTTTTTGTCATTTGACCTTCATATTCTCACAGTGTCTCTATCAACATTGTTTTGGTTCTTAAACTCCTTAAGGAGAAACAGGTCACATCAGTATGTTAGATCTATTAACTGTTCAGTGTGCCTTTCTTTGGTTTCTGTCAATTCTTCACATAGAAAATTCAAATTTGGTACCTTAAATCAACAATCAGAGTGATGTTCAATCTCTATATCTACATCTTTGGCTCAATTATTAACATGTTTCTCCTACCACATTCCTGGTATGATGCATATTTTGGCCAACTCTTTTTCTCAAGGTCATCACCTTTTTCCCAAAGAATGAAACCTTTACCATTTGGTTTTTCAATGGACCTATGAGTATATCTGGTCATTTTATAAAAGACACCTTTGTTATGTCGACCAGCTGTCTTCATACATTTTACTGATCTCAAGTTCCAGTTCTAAGTTCTTTAACATTGAATTCCTGCAACTTATAGTTGTATATTGTCAGTATTTGGAGAACCTCTTCCTTTATATATATATATATATATATATCCTTCACTTCTACTTTTCGTTATAGTCCTAGCAAAGATCAATCTTCCATGTGCCAGGTTCTCATAGCTCCACTTTGGCATACTCAACCATGGTTTCCCCTATTACATCCACTTTTCCACAGAAAAGCAGTCCCATTATCATTATCTCCTGCAATTTCATGGTTAGCCATTATTTGGTCCTTTGTCCAAGAAGCTAGCTTCTCTTCACTGGTGGCTCAATTGTTAGTCCATTCTTGTATATGCTTTTCTCTAGCTATTTATCAGTCCCTTTGGGCTATTGATTGGAGTTAGTGTCTTACACATGTTATATCTTGTTTATCTCCAACTCATGACAAATTGCTTCTTACTTTATATATATTTATTTCATAAACATGGCTAATCTTCTTTGATAGCTGGTTACAGAGGTCCATTATCCACTCTACATTCTGATGCCATAGCAGCCATCAATACTTTTTTCCTCAATATTCAAAAATCTCTTTAGGACTTTTTATCTTCATAGATCCCATATTTCTGGGAATTGTCCTAAATGGGACTCACGTGGGGTATTACATGTCTTGATTTCTCCCTCTTTTGAACTCTTAGAGACTTGTTCGCACTATAATTTTATTTATTTTTGCTATTTATATGATGTGGATGATGCTGTGATATCTATGCCTTCAATTTTCTCATATGTTCTTTCTTTGGAAAGCCTTATAGTTGTACCCTGATTGTGCTTTCCTATCTAAAACTTGGGCTGTTAGAAAATGTAACCACTGTTATACATCTTGACATCTTATGCTGGGAACTTTAATAAATTGGCTTGTGGAGTTGTTTACAACAATGTTCCCATACATCTTAAAAGTGAATTTCAAGTTAAATTCACCAAATTTTGCATCTCAGTCATAGTATCCTTTAGTGGATATTCTGCATGCCAGGATCTGGATGATTTCCAATATATATTATTAAAAT